TGTGTGTATATATATATATATGTGTGTGTGTGTGTGTGAAAAGTGCGTGTATACAAATATAAATATCTATATAAGTGGCTAATAGCTATTGTAAATTGGTAGTAGTGTCCACATATGTATATATCTGTATGAGTCCCGGCGGACGAGCAAGTGTGTATGTGTGTCTGCGTACCTCATTGGGTGTACGGACATGCATCTATGTTTGCGTTAGCACGATGACATCACATCGACGATTCCTCCCACTCCCATAATAACACCAATACATGCAATCTACATAAACCCAAAATTTTAAAAAATTAATCAGTTTGTCTGACGATCGCAAAAGCGTGAAACCTAGGGTCACAAACTCACATCAATCCAACCAAATATGTTAGCTCTATCTCTGATATTGAGCGCTTTCTAATAAGTACCGCACATATAATATATAAATAATTATATATATATATATATATATATATATATATATATATTTTGTATACACACACTTTTCACACACACACACACACACATATATATATATATATATAAAAGCGTGAAACCTAGGGTCACAAACTCACATCATTCCAACCAAATATATATATATATATATATATATATATATATATATATATATATATATATATGAATGTTTGTTTTTGTGCGTGCATGCATTCACGCGTGCGTGTCTGAATTAAAATCTAGAACCTTCTCACTCCTGTTCGAAGGATCCCACCTTGATTGAATATGTCTTCAAGGGTGTAACCCTACTCACGACGTTTGGTTTGTGAGCCTATTTAATAATAGTTAGACGTTTTGAATTCAGAGTTGTCCATCTTCTAGACCGGTTGCCAACCAAGGCTATAGGACCCAGTATGCCCTGCTATTTACACATAATTGGTGTGTGTACGTATGTGTGTGTTTTTTGTAAAAATAGAATATATTAGACAATTTGGAATGATCTAACTTGGTATCTTTTGCAAGATATCCGGTGTTATTAATTTTATTTGGACAAACTAAAATCTACCTTTCGTAATCGGATAAGTTTTCGTTAAACATCGAAAAAATGATTTAAAATTTGCCTGTATTTACTTGCGCTGAAGATGAAAAGCCCTCACTTTTCAGCTGAATCCACGGAGTCGAACCACCCTCACTTCCTTCGCCTTCCAATTATAAGTTCCATACAGACGGCTTTTTCCTCTTAGAACCACTGCTTTGAGATATAGACACCCACGTGGATGATTTCTTGAACGTTACAATCTCAACCACTTCAATTCAAGGATCGATCGTTATCTATCCACAAAATACTCACTTCCTGCTTCCTACTCTTACATTCATTCATATCACACAAATCATTCAGTAATCATCTAACTTGAGTGGGTCCTTGTATTGGGTAAATGTTAGGAAAAATCGTTATGTAAGTTAGATTTTAACATTAACCCATATTGTTTTCGTACTAATGTAATGGGAAATAAGGATGACAAGAAATAGGCCGGTTGTGTATTATTTGTCAAGAATTTATGCATCACGGCACTTAAAATGTATCTTCAATATAATCAATTATTAAGAGAAACACCTTACAGGTGAAATTTTGATCACGAACACTTCAGTAGCATGTAAGTCTACAGAATCTGTTCTTTAACTTTTAGTCTCATTTGTGTTCTTATGTGGACAGCGACTCGGAAATGAGAAATCAGAGAACCGAGTTCGATTTCATGTCAAGCTCATTGCGTTCACTTAAGTGAATATCATTGGGAAAGATATGAATCTGTCTTTTCTGCCACCAGATATGGGTAAATAACATGATAGACTGGAGCTATATAGTCTTTTCTTCTCCTAGACTCGCATCAAAGAAAAGAAAAAAAATCTCAATTTAAACCAACCTAGAGAGAGTTCGGTTCCGTCAGGCAGTTTTGCCCAAGACCCACCACACCTGCTACGGCTGAAGTACATACTGCACCCCTATGACCTTAATATTTTACAAGACTGGTGATTGTGATATTCATATTGTCTTTAAATCTCGGGATGTTTCGCTAATATAATCTGAGGTACATTTTTTGCCTTCTGTTTGGCAAACTACCACTTCTGATTTTACAAATTTGCTCACCGTTTTACATTGATTAAATGTTTAACTGACTTTGAAATGTTTATAACATGTTTTACATTGGGATTAGTTATGTTTCTTATAAGTCCAGCAATTATAGAGTTTGTAGACAATAAATTTTACCTACTTTTTGAGTCTTCAAATAAAATTGTTTTTCTGATGACACCGGATTACTGGCGAAACATGTTAAACGAAATCTCAGTAAACACGAAACTTGTCAGGCTAAGTTCCTGTCAACCCGTAATCAAGCATAAAAAAACATTTAGACACATCAGAGGAACGCTGGAACAGAATGTACACAATTTATAGAACAGTGGACTGAGAATGATTCCATGGACGAGTTGCAAGAAAAAAATATAAGAAAAACACAACTGAAGAAAACGTAATCTCCTTTAACATTAGCTAAAATGCTTTTGGATTAGTCGAATGATTCCTGGAATACGGTTATTTGGTTAGACGAATCAAAAATTGATTGAACTTTTTAAAATATAACCAACAAAGTTAGGAGAAAAATATACACAGTACAAATGATGTAAAAAATACCATCTGAATATTGAAGCACGATTACAAACACTTCATTTTATGGGGTTGCTTTGGTTCAGTAGGTAGCGGAAGACCTACTACGTTTGACAAGACAATGAATTTGCTTTTAGAAAAATCATTTACATCAATATATTTATCTATTTTTGTCTACCGGCCTGAATATTCCAAAAAATATTCTCATTAAAGGGAAACAGACTCTCTCTGGTGGGATCGAACCTGCTTTACCTTTAGACAAAGGGAACTGGTGTTAGATTCAAAATGCTTTAGACCGTTTTGGCCATGAAGAATTCCTACCGATCAAGCAAGCTTGAATAGTGCCTTTAAGCACAATCCATGTTGTCATAGATTGTCGAAATTTCATATCAGCTTAAGTTTCGTTTCCAAACGTAAACAAAGCAATTTCGAAAAAAGTAATTGATTTTTTATTTATTAATCCAACAGATTTTATCACTTTAAACTCTATTTTTAGTGGATTTTCATATCTGAGTAGACACCAGTTTATTTATTAAACATTATATTTATCCCCTAAAAAGAGACGTTTAAGTGTTAAAATCCATTAGTTCTTTATTATATATATATATATATATATATATATATATATATATATATATATATATAGCTAAACCTAGAGAGCCTGACAAACTTACCTATACTTATAAGATTACTACTACTACTATTACTACTAATATATATATATATATATATATATATATATATTATGAGATTATTATTACTACTACTACTACTACTACTACTACTACTACTACTACTAATATATATATATATGTGGAATAACAATATATAAATTTTTGAGAAGTCAGTCGATTATCGAGCAAATTTGTATAGTCCCTTGAAATGCAAATATTTCCTAGATTCTCGAAATAGACATATCTGCTCAGTTTCTTATCCTAACATAAACAAAGCAATTTCTAAAGAAGTGATGGGTTGTTTTTATTTAGTAATCCGAGAGGTTTTATTATGTAAACATTATTTTTAGTGGATACCCATATTTGATTGGTTTGTCGTCTTTGTATTTGCAAACAAACAGATTCACAACGTTTTTGAATGGATAAAGAAACCAGTAAAAATTAATTGATAACACTGATCCATTTCTTCCTATTCTAACTTCGCCCATAGAATTGGGGGGTATCTGAGTATGAATCAAAGTTATGATAAAAACATTAACATTATTAGGATGATTCATCATTAGTGAATGCATCTGACATGGAATCGATTACATCAAAAAAAAAATCTATCAATCTTGACAGAACTAAATCAGTAAGTCCGTAGACTGATGCTCAGTAATTGAACTTTGACCTCATATTTAAAAAAAATATTTTCGATTTATGCAATTAAGAATGAATTAAGTACATTGACACAGGATAAGAATTTGTAAAATAACTATTTTTTCTCTTTGGATGACGGATTTATTGATGCACATATAATAATAGCTGTCCATTCGTATTCGAAGATACCCCGGCTACTAGGGCGGCTAGACAATTTCTATTGCAGACGCTTGCTCAATACCACTGAAACTATGCTGAGCAGACATTAGTTACAGTTTATCTAGCGTGATCAACAATTTGAACAAGGCTCAAGGCCTCGTGCTAGCATAGCTCCCGACGAGTTCCGTCTACCTAATTTCCCTCACGTATGGTTTTCAGGCACTTTGAAAAGTGTCTGAAAACCATACTGAGTTCGACACGCTAGAAGCTACCTCGATCCAGTCCGGTAACATCAAATCGACAATGGTGAGATTCGAACTCGGGTCTCATGGTCAAAAAGCGAACGTTCTAACCACTCGGACGCGCGTCCATATATGCATATATACATACATGCATGCATACATACATATGGCTGTTGACTCATTGAATGAGTATGACCATCGCTGACAAGTTTGATCAATCTTGGTACCAATTATTTTCAAGGTTTGATTTAGAAATCTTGAGGGTGTAGACATCTTCAGGATGTCGGCATCTCGAAGGGTTGCAGATGATAGAATATTGTCATTTAGTCTTCATTTGATTATAAATTTCAACTGTATTCGAAAGTAGAGCGTTATTCCAGAAACCATTTTTGCAAATGTTTTTAGTGATTGCAAATCCTTGTTATATTTCCTAAGATTAAAAAAAGATTATATAACAAACTTTTTGCTTATTGTCTTCCATTTTCATAGCTAAAATCAATAAAGAAAAAAGTAGCACAATACACGTGACTGAATTCAATCAAAATCTGTGTTAATAAATTGCACGGAGCTTATACTTCTAATGTCTTTTCGTGGCAAACAAAACGAAATTTGGAACCAAAATATATCTTTTTAGTTGTCGTTCGCAAGTCTACATGAGGAGGACATCAATGAAAATCGAACTCACTACATATGTACCTGTGTAGACTACTAACAATTGCGCTACACCAGGCGATCTATCTATCTATCTATCTATCTATCTATCTATCTATCTATGTATGTATCTGTCTGTCTGTCTGTCTAATATCGTATATATTACGAATATACAAAATCAGCTGAATCCGACATAGACAAACAAGAATTACTATACACTTGCATACATGGAGCGTTATTTACAGTTTTTCAGTTAGATCTGGAATCCATTAATTTCTCGGAAATTCGAAAAGACGCGAATTCTCTCTTTGAATCTGGAACGCCATAAATTATACTAATTTAACAAATCGAATGCACGTGAAATATGATTAACCAATGAAGATCAAAGAGAATAGTAAAAATATCAGAATTTCTTTCTTTATTTTCTGATGAAGTTTTAATAAAAGTGAAACATGTTAGATTGATGGACGTCTCCTATTTGCTATCTATCTATCTATCTATCTATCTATGAAGGAGAAATCAGAAAGTAATATAAAGAGAGTGAAGAAGAGCCATAAATAAATTAAAGAGCGCGAAAGAGAGCCAGAAAGCATTAGAAAAAGAGTGAAAGAGAGCAATAAAGTAATATAAAGAGAGTGAAGGACAACTGAAAATTAATATTAAGAAAATAAACGAGAGAAAAATAGTAATACATTCTGTCCCAAAATTCCCCTAGGGTTTTAAAAATATCATAACATGTCAAATTTTTCAGATTTCTATTTTTCTATTTTTTCAGAATTTAGATTGCACAAGGAAATTGCCCATGGAAGAATTCACAACTGAAAAAAGAACGCAAATCGTGGAATTGCATTTTAGATTTAACCTGTCCTTCACACCCAAGGAGAATACACGTCAATACTATCGAAATTCCGAAATGTTTTGGCCACCACGGTCTACAGATCTGACGGCTCCAGATTACTTTCTTTTGGAATACCTTAAGGAGCCTGTATACATCAATAAACCACAAAGAATTCAATAACATTTGTGCAGAATTTCGAGGGCTGCAGCCAGAGTTATTATCCGTTGTTATCGAGAATGTTATCGAAAGATCGTGCCTGTGTGAAGTCAAAAATGGAGAACATTTACACCATATAATTTTTCATAATTAAATGGGAATATATTTCATATGATTGGATTTTTATTTTGTAAAAAAAAATTTTTAAATACAGAAAAATGTGAAAATTAAAACATTTTTAACTGCCAAGGTGACTTTTGGGACACCCTGTATAAAGAGAGATAGAAAATAATATAAAAGGAATAAATGACAACAAAAAAGTGAACAGCTAGTTTAAAGTAAAATTGATTAATATGGGGGGTGGTAAAGAAGAACGAAAGAGAAATTCAGGGAATAACAAAAAAAAAAAAAATGACTAAAACCGCTTCATAAGCTGACAGAAAAAGCATGTCGATTGATAAAAGCTGAATAAATGACACAGACAGATAAGTAAGAACGTAGAGGATGACAAAACAATTTAAACACAGACAGTTTCGTAGGTAGGCAGGGAATTTAATGACATTTTTAGGACATCTTTTCGCATGTTTTCTTTCCGCATTGTCTTTTCTTCGTAGTCAACCTTTCAATTTATTGGCGGGCATATCCAAATGTTTTTACAACTGTTTGTAATGTAGCGATTTTCAATACGCTTGGCGACCTAAAAGGAATAGTTAAATACATACAGACATATAAACATACACTAATCTAATCATAGATTTTGATATGTACTCGTCCATGTGTTTTTAAAATGACCTAAAAGCTGATTCAAATAAAATAGTTAAATACATACATATATATATATATATATATATATATATATATAATATAATATATAGATTTTGATATGTTCTAATGCGCGTTTTCACATATCCATACGCAGGTGTATATATATATATATATATATATATATATATATATATATATATTTTAAAATATGACATTCTATGAAATTTCTGACATACAGGCCTGGTAAATGTTAATACTGTTTATTCAAATATCTAAAATCTATAAAAGTAAAGTATAAACCATATATATATATATATATATATATATATATATTAAATATATATATATATATATATATATATATATATATATATATATATATATACATATATATATATATATATATATATATATATATATATATATATTAAAAAATAATAATGTTTTATTTTTATATTTATTTTTTATATATATTTGATATTTCAAATTGTCCTCAATCTTTTCATCAGAAATAACTATTTTGTTACAAATGAATTAAAATTACTGTTTGTTAGCAAGTAGCGTCCTTTTAAATGTTGTTTAAAAAAAAAATGAACTATATCTAAAAATTGCTTAACTATTGAAATATTTATAAAGATTTAAAACACCCAAGTCCCTATTCAACCTAGTTTATGTGTATTTAATTTTAAAATCCAATATGTTTCTTTTATATATATATATATATATATATATATATATATATATATATATATATATATATATATAATATATATAGGATCCACAGATAGTCTGTTTCGCTGTATCACAGCTCGTCAGTGTATTTTATATATATATATATATATATATATATATATATATTAATCATTCGACATAGTCCATTTGATTGCTTTTTATATTTTTCAAAATTACGAGAAAATCAATTTTTTTGTTCGAACGGTTTTGACATTCTCTGACATTTTTAGAAGATTAATGATGTCAGTGGCATAAAGTGACTTAATCCTAGCGTTGTTAGGTATGTTAGATTTCAAATTTAAATATAGCGGTATCATATAATCTTTATCTATTGAATTTACAGTATTTTTATAATATATTATATAATATTATTATAGTATTTTATAATAATAATTTAATAGGATTTTATAATATTATCGATTGAATTTAATAGTATGTTATGATAACTCGTCTTCTCATAAATTCTAGCAAATATATTCGTTTGATTTTCCGATATAAGTTATTTATTTTATACATTATCTTTGTTGTTACTATCATAAATGCATATTCAGAATTTTTTAATTTTTACCACTCGATGCTATTTAAAGTTTCATGCACATTTCAAAGATTTAATATCAGATTCATACCTTCTGAAGTCCTATCAAGCGGTGAGCAACAGCTATATAATTCTTATTAATATTTTTTAGTTTTATCACTGTTTTTCATTATATTCACTATGCAAAACACATATAAAGAAATATATATATATATATATATATATATATATATATATATATATATATATATATATATATATATATATATATGAAAGAAAAATACAGAAAAAACAAAATCTGAATATGCATTTATGTAGTATTAATGTTAAAATAAATCGACGTCGGACGTTTATTTATTTATTACCATCTTCGGGATATTTTATAAATATATACATTATAACTTATAAAAATTTAACATAAAAGACGATGGACATAAGAGCCCAACTAATTCAAACAGAAAATTTTATACAATCAGCGTTCTGTTTAAATATGATCACGTAGTCGTCACGTGGGCGATGTTGTTAAGACGTATTCGAAGATTTCCAAAAATTAAAATATTAAAAGTCGATTGAAAAATTTTTTATAAACAGTTCAAGAAATCTCTTCCGTTGATGTCGGAATACGTAGTGATCAATTGGTTCTTATTTGATAACAAAATGATTTCAAAAAATGGAACAGTTCTAAAAACAGTTTTTATAAGTTATAATGTTGATATGTTTAAATGAAAATGTCCATGAAGATGGTCTTAAAAAAAGAAATTTCATACTGTCGGATTTATATCCATATATTTATACATATATATATATATATATATATATATATATATATATATATAAATATCTAAGAAGTAATGAATCATTTATTTATTTATTAATCCGGCATATATATATATATATATTTATACACGTTTCATTAAATAATATAGACAAGGGTTGTCTATTTATTTTATGTAAAATTTTTCGTATCTCCTGATAAGTTTGATAAATTATCATTAACCGAAAAAAGAAATTCACAATAATCCATTATTTTTATAAAATCTAAGCTTTCGGCTTACTCAATATTATCAAAGGACAAATAATATACGGACGACAGTGATGATATAGTCTGTCATTGTTTTGTTTACATAGTGGATCACTAAGCAACGATGAACACGCGCATATAAGACGCTAGAAGCGAAAATCGCACCGCATCTCATGACGTCACACATGACTACACAAGAGTGAATTGAGAATGAAATAAGGAAAGCCGTTGGTATAACCAATGGCTTCTGTTACCAATTATTGAAATTATAGACATTTAAGAATATTTGTAGAGATTCCATAGTTGATTTTGTTTAGGTTGGGTTTTAACTGTTTGATGTATAATGCTTCAAGTATTTTTAGTTTTTGTCTATTGTTTTCATGTCGAAGTATAGTTGTGTTTTCGACAAGTATTTTACGGAATTGTGTGTGCGGGCAGACATGTTGTTTTAAATGCCTAAAAATGTTAGAGTTTTCATTAAGATGTAGTGTCAAGCGTCGTGAAAGCGAGTTTGTGGTGTGACCAACATAAATATTATTTAATTCGTTGGAGATACACTCTCCCAAAGGGCACTTGAATTTATAAACTATGTTGGTTTTTGCAAATCGCTAACTGGGGGGGAGAAGAATCATTGCGAAGTATTAAGTTGGATATACTAGATTTAGTATATATATATATATATATATATATATATATATATATATATATATATATATATATATCCAGGCAAACTGAGGACAATTGGAGTATAATTCCACTGCATGTAACATTTAATTTAAAAGAGGGCTCAATAATGCGTAGAACTAAATATTATTTATTTTAGGATATTAAAACAAAATTATATTAATAATTGTTATAATATATATATATATATATATATGTGTGTGTGTGTGTGTGTGTGTGTGTGTGTGTGTGTGTGTGTGCAGATATGTAAAAAAATAGGAAAGAACACGTTAGGTAAATAATCCAGGGTTCTTTAGTATTTTTATTTTTTATTTTTAAAAAACAGTGCTCTAGAGAAGTAGAGCTTAGATTATAATTATTTTTAAAAAAATATGATTCCTTCGCTACATAAGAGTTCTCATGTTTCAAAAACGAGAGCCGAAGCCATCAATATAATTATTAAAATTAAATTGAATTAAAGTAACAAGCCCTGTTTCATCCTCAAGCGAAAATTTAGGAACAAATTATATCCTAAATCCTAAATTTTCGCTTGAGGATGAAACAGGGCTCGTTACTTTAATTTTGGAATGTTAAAAATGATTTTGTTTTCTTACCGCGTTAGTTCCAACTTCCTCGACTCACGAACTTGCTGAGTTACTAATTATATCATTAGATACCACCCACGGAGAAGCAGAAGAATATGTATGAATATACTTTTTGCCTCGGTGAAGATATTAAGAACAGTTACTGGCGAGGATTGGCACAATAACAATGACTTAGTTAAAATAAACATGATAATTCATTTAACAATCAAAACAAAATAATGTCAGTTTTACGACAAATACTCCCATAATACTCAGCACCTCCTATATCTCTTTCCCTCCGTGATTATTATTAAAATCACATGAGTGCATATAGATAGATAGATATTTAGATAGATAGATAGATATAGATAAAGATAGATAGCTTAATAGTGCTTAACTCCTGTCTTACTTTCTTTTCTTTATTCTTCACCTATCTATCTCATTCATTTTATCTATCTATCTATCTATCTATCTATCTATCTATCTATCTATCTATCTATCTATCTCATTCATTTTATCTATCTATCTATTTCATTCATTTATCTATCTATCTGTAGTGTCGGGGTACATTAAGTTTTATAATCTATCTATCTATCTATCTATCTATCTATCTATCTATATATATATATATATATATAGAGAGAGAGAGAGAGAGAGATCCTAGCAGAAGCAGTCACTGGAGTAGACTACTAGATCAACTCCCTCCCTAAATACACACGAATATAGTTTAATCTAGTCTAGAATAATCACCGGGTTACGATTGCGGCTAGCCTTCTTCATATCACGGTGTATAAAATACCCTACGAGGCCAGATTATACTCTCTTTTACTATTGATATAAACAACTGTTTTTTTTTTTTAACTTGAATCTTATGTGATGACCCAGTCAAGAAACTGATAATCCTAGCTGATATGAACTCATGGAACAATAATCAGGTATTGCTAAGCAAAATCAATAGGCTCTCAGAAGACCTACTAATTCATCGGAATAAAATTGAGCGTTGAGTCGAATACACACAAGACATTTTTGTGGAGGCATGATTCATATCCCCATCTATTACCAGTGCCTACAATAATCTCCATCTTATTACATGGGAAAATGTCGGGGTATATTCTGGCCTACGGAGTATATTCTAGCCTTACTTATATAACATCTTCTGTTACAAAGTTGCTTAGCCTAACTTATACCTTAGTTAAAAAACATCCCAACCTAGGGCGGGTATATACTGTGGGTGTGGTTAAACTTTGGACTGTTTAACTGGCGTTGCCAAGGACAAAGACGGAGAGGTAACATCAAATGCAGCATGATTATCATATGCGCTCAATTTAAAAGAACTGATTGTTCCTTGCTTTAAACACTTTAAACAATTGGTGGTCGACTTTCGGTGAAATGCTACTTGTTCCTGTGGTTATCGACTGGGAGTGAGTGGAGAAGGTAGATAAAATTAAATTCCCGGCTTCGTACATTGTAGAGGATTTCTTCTGGACGAGTAATATCATCACGTTAGTCAAGATGGCGCAGCAGTGATTGTATCAGGTCATCCCATAAGTTCTGTCCGAATTTTAACTTTTTGTTAAAATGAACGAAATTTAAAGAGTATTTTATAATGTCTAATGGAGCTGAACATTATTTTTATGTTGAGATGCATTTAAACTGATCAAATTTTATTTCAGAGAACAATAAAATTAAATTTTGTTTGATTAAAACCATGTTAATATGGAAGTAGCCAAGAATCATTTGAGGCACATAATGCTTTATGAGTTCAAGAAAGGAAACTCAGCAGCCGAAGCGGCTAGAAACATTCACTCAGTTTATGGAGAGGAATGTGTGAATAAAAAAAAAACTTGCAGAAGATGGTTTTCAAAATTCAGAGGTGGAGATTTCACCCTTGAAGATGAAGATCGAACCGGATGTCCAGTTGAGTTTGATGAAAAGCTTCTTAAAGCAGTCCTTGAAGAAAATCCTGCTTTATCAGTTGAGGAATTGGCAGTGGTTCTCAGTTCAAACCAAACAACTGTTCATGGTCATCTTCAACAACTTGGAAAAGTTCTAAACTTGGAAAATGGGTGCCTCATGAATTGTCTGAAAACAACCTCAAATCCCTGAGTTGACATCTGCTCTTCTCTCCATTCTTGCCAACTTGTTTCACTTTTTTGGATAGACTTGTGACTGGCGACGAAAAATGGATCTTTTATCGAAATGTTAAGCGTCGTAGACAAGTGGCTTAGTAAAGGGAAGGACCCCAGCCACGGCCGAGAAGGGAACTTCATGGGCAAAAGGTTCTTCTTTCAATCTGGTGGGATCGCCAAGGAATAATCCACTTTGAATTCTTACCACCTAATGCAACAATTAATGCTCAAATATACTGTCAGCAATTAGAGCGTTTGAACCAAGCTTTGAGGAAAAAAAGACCTGCTCTAGTGAATCAAAAAGAGGTGATGTTTCATCAGGACAATGCGTGACCACACACAGCAAGAATCACGTCACAAATTATCGAAGAACTTGCTTAGGAGAAAATTCCTCATCCACCTTATTCTCTCGATCTTGCTCCTTCAGACTACCATTTGGTTCGTAGCTTACAGAATCATTTGGTAGAAACAGCTTTTGTAACACAGGGAGAGGTTAAAACTGACATTTGGGAGTTCTTCGAATCAAAGCCAAAAGAATTTTGCAGTAATGGAATTAGTACGCTTGTTAATAGATGAAAGGAAGTCATAGATAATCAGGGAAAATACATTGTTGATTGAATCTGTAATTAAATGTAACATTTGGTCACTTGTTTTCTTTATTCAAAATTCGGACAGAATTTATGGGATGACCTGATATTTATTGAGAATTCTCAGGAAAAAATAATTTACTGAGCAAATTGCTGATGACCTCCTACTGTTGCTCTGTTTAGAGTGAGTTCTAGTGTACTGCACAGCTGTTTACTATTCTAGCTGCTCGGTGGAGGACAAGAGGTCCCACCCAAAGGATGATAACTGAAAAATAACTGACTAACGCTGCCGAACGATGACAATTTTCAACGTATTTTATACGTATTACTTTTATTCATTCGATGCTGTGCGTGTTCTTTTTGTTAAATTTCATTGTGCATTGCACAGTGCCAAGATAAAACGGATATGCAATGTGATTGACCCTGATCTGGCATCTTGTCTACAGTCGCTCTCTCACAGATGTGCCGTCGCCTCCCTCTGTCTTTTCTACAAACACGGTAACTGCTCCCACAAGCTACTTTCGCTTGTTCCCAGACTGCATGAATTTAAACGTGCTACTAGGCTGGCATCACGGTCCCACTCTTTCAATGTCGAAACAGTTAAATGTGACCGTCTCTTCTACTCCAATAGCTTCATGTCTCCGCCTGTGGATTTCCCTTTCTATTGTTTCTCTGATAGCTATTCAAATGCAATATCAATCGACATCTCCAGATGCCTTGATCTATCCCTGTTCATCCTTTCCTCTATCACGCCTCTTTACTCTCGCTCCCACTTTCTGTAACCCCTTGTGTCCTAGTGGCATCCCACCTTGCTTGGGGTTAAATGCTTTAAAAAAAAATAAATAAAAATATATATATATATAAAGTCTGAGTAATAATGTTTATGTAGATATTTGAAACAAATCGTAATGTAGAAGTTTTCTGAATTGTTTTCGATGAGCATATGCAGGCAAAAGGCTATCAGACTGTAAATTATACTCACAATTAGAAATATTAAAAAAATGTTTCCTGAAAATTAGTATTACCGGCATACTGGAAATAACAGCTTTACTACTGAATGTAAAAATCAATGTCACAATTATTGTTATTCATAACAGAGCTTCTTGATGATAACGATGTTTTCTTTTCCAGTTGGAACAAAAAAGCAAAGATTATTTGGTGTGCCCTTTGGTGAGGCAATGGCCATGGGAAAACCGGGGATACGGAAATAGCAATCCAGTCATATTCAATGTTTGCTCCTCAGACATATTTGCTCCATATGGCAAAATAGATTATGTCTGAGAACAGCAATGTCTTCAAATCAAATAAAACGTTAGTGGGATTAATTGGATTTGGTTTGATTGGGTTTAGTGTATATAAAACATTTCCAGATTGTTTAATGTCGAATTCTATTATAGATAGACATAGATTTTATTTTAAACGTGAGTAAAGAATGCATACAGACGTTTTTTTAATCAATTCACCCCAAGCAAGGCGATAATGCCACTCAGACATAATTGGGAGTGAAAGAGAATGAGTAGACATTTTTTACAGTAAGGTCCACCTGTACAAAACCGCTTGTATTAGAGGATTACGTTAAGAGGTAGTTTATACGGATAGAAGGGTGGGTAACGGTTAACACTAGTCTTTTCACAAAACTTTCGTCTACCCTGAGGTCCTTGAAACAGTTATTAAGCTCTAGATAGACAGAGTCTGCAATGGAAGGTTGTACGCGTTTCGAAAAGACTCTGCACTTCCTCATAAAGGTTACAAATATTAAAAATATCATAGCTCAAGTGACACAAAAAGAATGTCGGCTAATTTTCACGATCATGTAACGCCAAATAAGTGGTCTCCAAGTTCTTACTCCTGACTGCTATGGTATGGAGCAGATAGAGGAAAGATGGGTTAATCAGCATATCCACCAAGCATTCTCTGAAAGCCACCATGGGCAAAACAAAGTCGGAAATGAACAAAATAATTTGAACAGAGGTAGAACAGTCTACCTCAGCGAGCGAAATAAAGGGTTCAGTTCGACATTCCAACCACCTGAAGAAGCCCGGAGCGTACAACGGCCAAAACGTTGTGATAAATATGACAACGAAGATGAGGATAATAGTCCCAATAATGTAAATAGTGTACATATTACCTCATCTCAGAAATATAGACAGATACAAAACAATTTGAGTTGAGTATACCAACGATTCCGATACGCATGTAAGCTGCCACTGATCATGAAGGTCGATATAGTGAATATATGAAGCTACTCTGTGTGTGCAAATTCTTATGAAAATATAGCTATTTTTTTTTAAAGATAAACGCTAATTAGGACACAGAAAATGGAATCATCGTATCGATATCAAATTGTAACCACTTGTGGTGTCATTAATAATCACTCGTTACTTTGTCCGCTTCCAGTTAACATGCAATGGTAGTTGACGATAGGAAATGATAGTACGTGATCCGACTCGAGCAATATCAACGAATGATTTCTGTATCCGTTGCTGGCAGATAAAAAAAAAACAATCTTTACCTGTGCTTCAAAAATCAATTTTTACCTCGCTCCAGTTAATTTTTTTTTATTTTTTATTATTTCAGTCTCTTTGTATCTTTCGAATTTCTATCGTGCTTTGGCGAAGACAAATGGCAGCAAGAACTGTTATTTTTTAGTCATAGAAGATTCCGAGAATCAATTTTGGTTTTTAATACACTGTTCGGCACCCATTTTGAAAACTGACGCTTTATCATTTATACGGCCTCATCACATTCAAATAACCGTTCCCGTGCGTTCACCGAAGTTAAGCAACGGAGAGCCTGGGTAACCGCCTGGGAATATCAGTTGGCGTAAGCTTGGATGTTATGGTGGTGT